CGGGGACCTGGAGCGCGCGGCGCGGCAGCAGTTCCAGCAGGACGAGACCCCCGCCTTCGTGTACGTGGTGGCGGTCTTCTCCGCGCTGGGCGGCTTCCTGTTCGGCTATGACACCGGCGTGGTGTCGGGGGCCATGCTGCTGCTCAAGCGGCAGCTCAGCCTGGACGCGCTGTGGCAGGAGCTCCTGGTGTCCAGCACGGTGGGGGCGGCCGCCGTCTCGGCGCTGGCCGGCGGGGCCCTCAACGGCGTCTTCGGCCGCCGCGCCGCCATCCTGCTGGCCAGTGCGCTCTTCACCGCCGGCTCCGCCGTGCTGGCCGCTGCGAACAACAAGGAGACCCTGCTGGCCGGCCGCCTGGTCGTGGGGCTCGGCATCGGTGAGTTCGCGAGCTGGGAAGGGCACCCGGGGGCCCTGGCGCGCCGCCCTGGACCCCGGTCGCTGCGTTCCTTTGGCGCCTCTGGGGTCCCCGTCGGGTCTCGCCGGGACCGAGAATACTCCCTCTGTTCTCTCGCCGGGAGAACGCCTCTGCCAGTCCCGCTTCTAAGGCTCGGTTTTGGGGGTGGGGGGGTGGTGGCTGTGGGTGGGTTGCTGTAGTCTCCCCCGAGCCCACGTGGACTCTTCGCTCGCCCACGAACTAGTGGATCCGCGCGATTGCTTCCCCTCTGAGCACTTGCGGGAGCCTCGCTCATCGCCAGCGTTCGCCCTGATCCAGCCCTACCTGATGCTGCCGCTCAGCTCGCGACGGAGGTCGCTCAGCTCTTCCGTATTGCCTCGCCTTGTCTCCACCTTTCCTTCTCTAGGATTCCAAACTCCGAACGCAGTCGGTCTTAAAGTCGCAGCAAGTTAAATTTAAAGTTAATTCTGGACTCAGAAACTATTCTTTGCTACCCTCCCCCCTCTCACCTTTTCTAGTCATTTATCTTTAGGTGGAGTATAATGTTTCTCTTTTTGCTTATAGCCTTTTGCTTTCATCTTTTCCCCAACTGAATTCCTTGCTCCTCTGGTTTTCTAACTTTTCCTTTCAATCCATGTTCACCCATTCTCCTCTTTGTTTTGCTTCTCCTGCCTTCCTCTTGGGAACCAAATTATCTATTAAAGGTCACGTTCACTTCCTAAATTCATTTAGGAGCTACTCCCTCTGTGGATAAATGCCCAGCAAGATAGATATTTGCAATTTACTCCAAAAGGAAGGGATTAAGGTTCCCCTGGCATTGATTTTTTTTTTTTTTTCTCACCCTGGTTGCTGAGCAGGGCAAGTACAATCGGGGAGTTCTTGGCAGACAGAAGCTGCTTGGAATGTGGTCAGTATTATTAGAAAGCACTTTTGAGGGAAAGTGGGGGGGTTGAGACGAAAGTCTCGCTGGTAGTTTTTCTAAGACACACCGCTGATGCCTTTTAAATGTAGCATTTCATAATTCAGTGTTTTATTTCCTTTAGGGTGCGTTTGATGTATTTCTTCCTGGTGGCTGGGCTTCATGAAAGCTCTTTCAACCTGCAGCTCCTGATGATCTCTCCACTCACCTCTCGTTTGACATTTACACTTTTCACCCCTTCTCTGTAAGCCCTCAGGGGAACCGAGCCCCATTTAGACAACTCCACACGAACCATTAGCCTAAACCCCACCCAGCTCACTGCACTTTATATCCCAAAGCTGTCATTACTGACCTCCCTTTAGTTTGTTTCTTGTATTGTTAATTAGTGAAGCAAGGCATGGCTCTCAGTAAAATGTTAATTTGGCCCATAAAAGTCCAAAAAGTACAGCTGAAGTGAATGAAACCTCTTTTTTTAGGAACCACCTGTGCCTTCAGGACCCTTCAACAAATAACCTGGCCTTAAAGTCAAATGATCAGGATTCTTTTTCTCTGCATTCTCTGCTCGGGACACCCAGACCACCTTTTTTTGTTTCTTCTGGCATAGAAATAACAATTTTAGATAGCAAGATTTCTTCACTGAGACTGAATCTTGTGATTTTGAAATTGAATAATGTTTTGGAGAGATCTCTAAATGAGGCTTCCTAGTGTTCAGCTATGGCCAGTACTGGGTATTTGGATACTGTGGACCCTTTCCAGATATTGTGAACAGAATGATGAGTGTTTATACTCCAGTAAGGGTGGCAGGGTGGGACTAAGGCAAGATAGGACTTGCTAAGCTCCTAAGAAAGGCTTTCAGGGCTGACAAATTTAAAAAAAGGTTAAGGTTACTCCGAACAGAGGAAAAGCCAGAAGCTTTTCGTGATGCAAGTGGTATGTTGATAAGTAGTATTTTAATAGTAGAAAGGAGGAGAGGACCTTCTCTGCCAGGGAATGAATGAAAAAGGAAAGCACAGGGCTTGCTTGGGTGTCAGGTTGGATGCAACAAAGGATGAAGCGGGAAGTAAGGCTGGAAAGGTTGGTGTGCAGGAACTGTGGACACCTCTGTGTCTCATAGCCTGGTCCTGTGGGGCCTGGGCTGCTTGCCTGACTGTATACCCAGTTGGGATATGGTCCTTCTTCAGTCTTGGTAAGGCCTATGTCACTCCTGGGGAAAGCACCTCTTAGAATAGAACCTCTGATACAAAGTTTCATAAAACCTCTTCATTTATAAAATGAAGAATCTTTTAAGGTCATAAACAGGCTTTGAAATATGCCACATTGAACAACACATTTCAGATTAGGATCTATTCAAGGGGTGCAATAGTAAAATCCTTAACACTCACGAAGATTACTAACCTCCCAAAAGAGAAGTCACAAGAATTATTTTTAGCTACAAGAAAATGGTTCCCTAACATGAGCATTTTTTAAGGACACTAAATCAGTTTTGTTTGTTTGATATACTACATGTGGGTTAATATTTCATGTTACTTTTTTTTTTTTTTTGATAATTAATGTTGACAAGTTTGTAGTGATAATTTCTTTCACAGATTTACCTCTTGCAAATATAAGGCCCACGGGGACAGGGCTTTTTGTTCACTGATCTATTCCTAGCCCATAGGAGGCAATGGTTAAAGAAATGAATTAAATGTATGAATAGTAAGCAGAAACATTAAAATAATTCCATCATTGATAGTGTACCACCCTAGGTTAGGATTGTTTTTTGTTTGTTTTTTTAAATAGTGTATTATAAAATATTTGAAAGGCCATCTAAGGGTTTTAGTTTGTAACAATTTAATGATATCATTCATTTATTCAACAAATGCTAATGAAATTTCAATTATTCTGTCTCATTTGAAGTAGGCAATAATTATTATTTTACTGTTAATCCTCACCCGAGGATATTTTTTCCATTGATTTGTAGCGAGAGTAGAAGGGAGGGAGGAAGGGGGGGAGAGAGAGAGAGAGAGGAACATTGATGTGAGAGACACATCAATTGGTTGCCTCCCACATGCACCCCAGTTGGAGCCAGAGGTCAAACCCGTAACCCAGGTACTTGCCCTTGACTGGGAATTGAACCCTCAACCCTTCAGTGTGTGAGCCGACACGCTAACCCCTGAGCCACATGGAACAGAGGGACCACCCACAAGCAATTAAAATGCAACGGAGGTTTCCCGTAAGTGCCAGCAGGACACAGAAAGTGGGCAATTGATTCTTTTGGGAAGGGAGGGAAATAAGTACAACACAGAATTAAGGAAGTTTTGCAGAAACAGTTATTTAAACGGGTTTGAAGGATAAGTAGGAGTTCAACAGATGTACAAGGAGCTGGGAAAGGAACTAATATTTAGTGCTTTAGTATGCACTAGTTACACTGCTCTTAAACTTTACATATGTTATGTCACTTAATCCTTCTAACTCTTTGAAGCAGGTGTGAAACAGGTCTCCTAATGCTGGATGTGGAAATAGCCTGTGGCAGTTAAATGACAAGGGCACTGGTACAAAGTCAGGATTATAAAAACAAAACTACTTTCTATTTACCCTACTGGGCATTCAAGGTAGAGTGAACAGCATATGTAAAGGCACAGAAAAATCAAAGCAATACTTGAGGCATAGAGTGAGTGAAGCAGGGCAATGGGGTGGCTATGAAACTGGAATGAGGGTTTTTTTGGTGGGAGAGGGTTGGTTAGGCTGAATAGGGGTCATTTGGCCATGCCTATGCGGGGACAGTCATTGGAGGTTTTTAGTTATAAATGATGTGATCAGATTAAACATCCCTTGAATCTGACCCCCCCCATACACACCATGCTTTTAATCTCTCCTTTCCCCCTCAAAGCTCATGCTTCTTTGAATATTGTAATATTAGAAATACTTGGCTGAGGTAATTGCTATAGGGTGGGTAAAGCATAGCATGTGGCCATGAATTTCTGGAATGAGAAGAGTCTGGGTCCTTCAACAGAAGCCTCTAAAAAAGATTAAGCAGTAATTTAGTGCATGTGTAGGGAATGTCAAGAAGTCTCCAAATGTGGATAGTCACCAGTATTCAAAACCTTTACTGAGAATTGACGTATTGATGTGTACAGCACTGAGTTTGTTGAATTAATCTTAGATTTACATCAGTTTCTACTGTCAGCCTCTGTTCCAGGGCTCCCTCTACTGGAACACAATTTGTAGTTGCATAATGAAGCTTGTAATTAGTATGGTATAGCCTGTTGAGTAATTCTTTTAAAAATATCACACGCACCCCCTGCCAAGTAGCACTTCGAATTCTTATTCTTTAATGCAAAGCAAGCATAAAATATTGTCTGATCAAAACATGCAATTACGCATTAATGCCAAAAAATTTCATTTATGTGTACTTGGCCAGAATCAGCCAGATTTTTAAATAATCAGCGAATGCTTTTTTCTTTTGCAATCAAGTTTGTTTTTCTCTCCCACCCCCTCCCTCTATTTCTTTCAATTTCAACTTTTATTAAAGCAAGATTTCTGTATTTGATTTATGTTCTCTACTTGTACAAAAACTGACATGTAAAGTAAAACTTCGTTTGACTTCTTCTATTTCTGTTTCATACACATTAACAGTTTCTGTGCACTACCCTCCCTCCTTTTATTTCTGGCGGCATTAATGTTGCAGAATTATGGTGAGGATTATGACGTGATTGTGTTTGTCTAGTAGTATTGCAGCACCCTCCTCGAGTGAGTTGTCTCGAGTGAGATGACGGAAGTCTGTTCACATTTATTCTCTGAAGTTATTCATGTGATGTCTGTATAAAACACTTCTTTTTCACCCACCCATATCTTCCTCTTCTGTATTTTAAGCCCAAAGTAAGAATACGGTCTAAATTCAATGACTTCATACTGAGGTCCTTGGCTTTAACACCGCTAATGATGTAGAACCTGCTGGTAGACCTCAAATAGCAGGCAGTCTTTGCCATCTTCACTCAAAAGCACATGACATATTTTCCTTTCCTTTTTCTGATCCAGCTGGGTTCCTTTATACATCCTTCCTATCTACAACTCTTTTCATTAT